AAGTAGTGTTCTTCTCCAGCGGAGGAGGTCGGCTCCAGATACGAGCGCTTGCAGGGTAAGTCCAGAAGCCGGGCCCCTTCTGTGAACGGGCAAATAATTCCTTTTAATTCTTGGTTTTATTACCGGCTGCCCAGAGTCACTTTGGCGGCCATGTAAATTTGACAGACAAACCGATAAACCAAGCGAGGCTTAAACAAGCAGTTCTACAGAAAGGAAAGAGGTCTGAGATGACTGAGTGGAGGAATGGGAGCGAACCCCTATTAATTTTCTCTCGATTTGATCTACCAGATTTTCCCCTGCCTTCTGCTCCAGTGATTTCCCACCTATTTCAGATGTTCTTGACATCACAACTAGGGCTCCTTAATGAAAAAAATAACTAGGAGCTAGGGTTCCTTCATGAAAAAAATCAGATATGGCAAGACAATGTTGCGTATCACTATGGAGCTTCTCCCCTGCAGTGGACTGCTGATAGCTTGATGTCGACTCCTCACTTATCCAAATTATCTGATTGGCCCTTTGAGCGTGCACTAAAACACACTCAAATCTTGTGTGACCTGTAAGACAAATCAGTTGGAAGTGGTTCCTTAAAAGTAGACGTTTCCAAGCCATGGAAATCCATATTATCCACAGCAGTTGGGGCCAAGTGACCCTTCGTGTTATTTCAGAAACCATAAAAATAGCTCCATTTTCTTCTTTTCCCTAAATTAAGCTTAGTGTCTTCCAGTTTCATCATCCTCTGTCTTATAGATTGATTTTATGCAAAATTAGGTGTGTCCACTGCTTCTGCTTGGCATAGATAGTCCTTAACTGTGTAGGATAAGGGTTTTTTAAAATTGATCTGGACCGTAATACATTGCTTAAGAAACTACCGCCTCAGCAGAATCTTGCCACATATTTTTTTCCTCAAAGGGTTTTCCTTATGAGCAAAAAGACAGAGCCCAGCCAGGGTTTAGCTAATCCTATCAATCTTAATTTCCAGGACTTGGTTTCATCAGCTGAGAATTTTAGTGACTTGGGTGCTACCCCTTTCTTATATCCAGCAGTTACTTTTCACAAACCTTGACAATGAACATGCTGCAATGTTTTGGTACTTATGTTTTTGACAAGTTCAAGGAGTCTTAAAACAACTTATCGTGAGCACTTTCCAGCAACAACAACGTGCTCTACATTTGCCAGGAGCGTATGTCAGGAGGCTGGAGAAATCTTGCAAGATAAAGCTAAGGGCTTATTCCAGGACTGATAAAAAACAAAAAAAACCTACATATTCAGGAAAAGAATACGTATTCTTATCTGACAGTGTTCTGGGGTCAGGAAGTTTTGCTTACTGTTATGAGTTGCCTGGAGATGCTTTTTTAAACTACTATGATTAGATGTGTATCCTGCCTTTTTTACACATACACACACACACACACACAGTCAACTCAAGGTAGCAACGTATCTAATACTCCTTCCTCCTCCTATTTTTCCCACAACAACAACCCTGTAAGGTGGGTTGGGCTGAAAGAGAGGGACTGGCCCAAAGTCACCCTGCCAGCTTTCATGCCTAGGGCAGGCCTAGAACTCACAGTCTCCTGGTTTCTAGGCTAGCACCTTCACTACTAAACTGGCTCACTTATATTGAAAGTGAATGGCACAAATTAATTTATTTCTGTCAAAGGGTAGCAGAACTGGCAATATTAATCATTTGGTTTCCTTTCTGCATACTAACCATATTGCTAATCTCTCTCTCTCCCTTCTTCCATCCTGCTTTTTCATTATTAAAAGTAATCTCAGTGGAGTATCTTATGGTTGAAGCTTCCTAAAGCTCCAGAACAAGCCAGTCTAAAATTAAATGTTAAACATGCTCCCTACCAATCAGGAAGCCTTGGGAGGGTCAGCATGCTCCCAACCAATCAGGAAGCCTTGGGAGGGTCAGCATGATCCCAACCAATCAGGAAACCTTGGGTGGTTCAGCATGCTCCTAACCACCCAGAGACCTAGTTTGTTTCTTTACTACGATTACTTAGATGTCAAAAATACCAAGACTGCCTCAAGTCTGATATCCTCCAGCAGAAAATCCCCCATTAATCTGTTCAAAAATATCTCCCCAGTCCATTCCCTTGCCTTACCTCGCCGTTTCAGACAGTGGTAGAAGAGGCCAGATTCTCTTTGTGCCGTGAAGGTGTTGAGGGGTAGGTCTTGGGCATCTGAGGTGGCAAACTGCATGTGCGCTCCATTCTCATACTGGTAGTGCTGAAGAGCCTGGTGGCTTCCATGGAGGGAGTTGACGTCTGATTTTGCAGAGAGTTGACCATGTGTGGACACCAACCTCTGCCTCATGATGGTCTTGGAGATCACAGGATATTCTTTGCTATAGAAGTTAGTAGAAGAGGAACAGGTCATAGCGCATTTCAGTGGTGATCAGTAGAACCCAATCATCATACTTCAGGGCAATTCTAATCATTTTCAAATTACATGAGGTCTAGAATTTGGAAGACCTTGAGGTTGGCCCTCCTAGCTCCCCTAAAAGCTGGGCCCTGCATCTGATCTTCATCTGATCTTCTTGGAGATGTTGTAAAAAGTTGGAATTGTAGCATGGTTAGAGCAATGTTTCTGCTGCTGGTCTGGAGACTGTGACAAATACTCATCTTCAGTTCTCTTTCCTGATTCCCACAATCCCACCAATGTGAAGTTAGCAAAAGAGGATTTGGGATGTTTTAGGAGACAGGCACTCCATTTAGGTTGGGCAACGTGAAGCTCGTTAAGTCTGCTTGCACTCTTGATGAACTGATTTATGCACCCTAAAATATGTCCTGGGACCCTTTGCAGCAAACAACATTTGGAAATCTTTGCCCTGGATCTTGGGATCACAGAAAGTGACTTCTAGGAAGTCAGACAATTTCTCCCTTGACTAGCTACTGCAGCAAGTCTTCAAAGTGTCCTTCCCTATCACTTGTCCCTTTTAAATTGGAGGTGCAGAAAAGTGCTCTACCACGGGAGCTCTGGTTCCTCTTCAACCTGGGAGATCGAGGTCAAAGAGTCCAGCTCAGCTATTGAAATGTGGGTGGCCCTGGGCAAAATCCCTCACTCTGGATCTGTTTCCCATCTGTATTGCACATTGAATTGATTCATAGCCCACTTCTGCCAAGTGCATATGGGCATTAGTCCAAGGAGCACGATGTACAGTGCAAAGCCTTCAGCAGTCGGGGAACCGATGCTTTGCAAAGAAAGCTGAGGGTGCAAATGGAGAACATAAGGTACCTGTGACCTAGGTTGCAGGAGGTGACAAGAGGAGAGGGGACTTCCTTTACAGTTATCTACACATCCCCAAAGGATGCCTCACTGTAACATGGTATTGTACTGGGACATTCAGGAAATTTGAGAGTCACCACAAAGCTGCAGATTCACCAACAAGAATGATTTATTATTATTTCTTCACTGTCCCCTATAATTGTAAGTTCATACGTATGTATGTATGTATGTATAAATAAATAGATGTCAGAACTTTAAATAGATGAAACTTATGTTTACACTGTGTGCTATGATACCATTTTGTATCATCCTGTTTTTAGATGATGATGATGATCATCATCATCGTCATCATCCTATCCAAAGGCTGAGCAGCCTTATTTTTTTTAGTTTCCTAACAGAAATCATGCCACCAAGGCCTGTAATTTTCCCCTGAAGTTTAAAAGGTGCAAGCTGAGAGGTCCCGAGGGCTGCAAAAAAGGTTTTAGGTCTATGTGTGCATCGTGGGCTAGAGGCTAACCACCTTTGCATCAGGCGATGTGATGTGTAAACTGCCCCTTGCATAAAATATTCCTTGCATATCCACAGCTAGCATGCCAGGGAGAAAATTCTAGGCCAGCCTGATCCTTGATAACCTAGTTTTCTATGTGCAGCTCTCTGGAGAAGGCTGTGATGCTGGGAAAGGTGGAAGGAAAAGAAGAAGAGGACGACCAGCAGTGGATAGACTCAGTTACAGTGGTGATGGGGGCACCATTGGAAGACCTGGAGGACCAAGTTGGGGACAGATCCTCCTGGAAAAAACTATCTAGGTGGTTGCTGAGAGTCAACACCCATGATGGCACTAATCCATCAATCAACCAGAAGACCCAGCTCTCTGGAGAAGTCCATAATCCTGGGAAAGGTGGAATGAAAGAGAAGAAGAGGACAACCAGCAGCAAGGTGGATGGACTCAGTTACAGTGGTGATGGGGGCACCATTGGAAGACCTGGAGGACCAGGCTGGGGACAGATCATCATGGAGAACATCTATCTATGTGATTACTAACAATTGGCACTGATTTATGGCATGTAATCAATCAATCAATCAATCAATCAAAAAAGGAGGAATTGATGCATGAAAGCCACTTCCCACTTCACCAATTTCAGTCCAGCCACTGATACATGTTCGGACAAACTCTGAGGTTGATTAAACATTGTTGATTCATCGTTGCTGTCGCTTTCCTAATGTTGATGTGTTCTATTGTTGTTCTTGTCCCTTTAACTTGGGCCAACAAAGATTTTTGAGCAGGGCGGGCAGCAAAAACTCTGAAATAAATGAGATGAATAGAAAGCTCCACTGCAATGGGATGGGGGAATCAAAGGATGGATGACACCATGTGGGCCACTAGCTTCCAAACTGTGACAAATAAAAGAGCCCTGCACACTTTGCAAAGCATAATGGACCCACATTTTCCTACCAAGGACTTAATTTTATTCCTGGGGAAGGGAGAACAGTATTCATGAAGTGATGGTGTCAGAAAGACCTACACTAAAATTAACATTCACTTAGAACAGTGTTTCTCAACCTTGGCAACTTTAACATGTGTGGACTTCAACTCCCAGAATCCCCCAG